AACAATAAATTTGGAATTTCACACCAATACGGTACAGTCAATGTTTGAAGCTATCAAAAATGTATGCCTTTTATCCATTAAACTATCCAAGTAAACTTAATTTCACAGCATAAATCTATTGTATCGAGTTGAGTGCATTGTATTTCACATAGTGCTGATAAAATATTGAGATATTACAATAACTCAAAATCTAGAAGAGATGTACAAATTCTGACTACATTTTAAAATCAGAACCATCAAATTACCCCAAATCACTTGAGTTTTCTCCAGTAGGAAATTTTTTGTTGTCCAATATTATTGGTGCACACTATTCACAAGCACATGTAAGTTAATTCCTTCAATACAGTGTTACATTCAAAATGTAAACAGCTTTATTTTATCAATGTATGTCAATATACATGACATTTATAATTCAAATTCTTCTATTATTTTTAATTTGCCTTTTTAATTTGAAAAATAAAGAACTCTTGATGTGTCTGAGCTTTGATTTCTCTACTTAAGAATTTTTTAACTTCTAAAATAGGATGCTGCAGTTTTAACAAATTAGAAACACAAACTATATATAATTATAAACAAATATCTAAAAACTGTACCTCCTATCTTCTTTATTTGTTGAGATATCAATAAATTTGTCAAACCCATAACCCCCCATTCTTTCGGGATTGTTTGCTAATCAGCTTTATGTAGTTAATGAACATGTTTATAATCAATAGAAAGAACAGATGCTTCTCTATGTAAAACATGCAATACAGCATTCAGTGTACCTGCCATAAACCATTAATCAGAATTAATTGGTTTTTGTTGATTGGAATTGACACTCCAAACAGTAACAGAATGTTTTTAGGCTATTTATAACTCACATAGAAAGACTGATAAATTATAGTATTGTTCAGACATTCTATTCTAGTATGTTGTACATTTAAGTTCTAAAATGCATATCTAAAAGCTGAATGACTTTTTTTTCCTCGACAGTCCAATCTGTAAAACTCAATAAGGCTTAGGGGAGAATGTTAAATATTTTTACTTAAGCACAAATTGCTAGAGTACATTGTAAGTAATACAAATCCTTATTTTTAAGTAAATTTTCCACTTATTGTGATATATTTTGTAACAAATTTAAGTACAATGTAAAAGTTATAAACTTTTCAGCTTTGTCTAACAAAACTTCTGTAACATACAATGTATAAAATTACATTCTAGTGTGAAACATGACATTCAGATCACATATTGTTTACATTATCTCTATGGGAAACAGCTAATGGACTCCCACTGTGATTCATTACTTTTGATGCAAAGATTCCTGCTCCAGTGGGTGAAAACTACCACAATAAAACCATAAAATCAAAAGAAAACAGATATGAAACATTTAACACTTGAAACTGTTACAATAAATAACTTGTAACTTCCAGATCAATACTGCTGTCAATGCATGAAAAAATGGTATTATTCATTTTATTTAATATTTTTCAACTTTTCATTTTGCTTTACATTAATGATTTCTCTACGGTTAATGTTGATCAAGATAAAATAAGAGAAAATATAAAGTGTAACTGAAAATTTAAAAAAACAAATCTTTTAATATCCATTTAGGAGGTTGTAGAAGTTACGCAAATGAAATATGAAACAAAGATGAAAAGTGTTATTTTTATTTTCAACATAAAAATCATCTTTTACTCAGACTGACTCATGAAAAGCTTTGAAAATTCATAGTAAAATTTTTAGGACTAATATTTTACTAAAAAAATTTTTTTTTAATGCATACAACATACTTTTACTGTTTACTAAAACTTTTGCAAAAACATGTAGTATATTTAGAGTTATAGTATGCATAATTCCACAGTTCCAAGTGACCAACTTCATTCTCATATGTTAATACTTACACTGAGCCAGGACTGTGTCCATGACCATTTGTATCTAAGCCTAACAAGTGCAGGAAAAATATAACACGATCTTGATTTACCATATCCATCAAAGTGCTGTTTTTCTTGGCTTGAAGAAGAAATTCCTTGAAAAAAAAAACATTCAATAGTGATATCAACATGATGTTGTAACCAGCAAAAAATCTATTGATAAAAGTATTACAAAACAACAGACAAGTTTCTGAAATACTTGTTTCTGTAGAAACACATCATATATATTAAATAAGTTATAGTGTATGGGGAATTACATTCTTCATCAGGTTTACTGACGTTCCCTTAAGAATGGAGTTATATCACAAACTAGGATTTTACAGGGTGTGTAGGTGTGTCTTTTGATAAGACAATAAAAAAACAATGTTCACACGATTTACACTCACTTTGTTTCAGATGGTCTGTTCACGGTCCTCGCTAGCCATAAGTTGGTCTCACCAACACTCAGTTGACTGTCTAAACAGACTGTCATAACACACAAGGAAAAGAAAGCAAAGAAATTCAATTTACAGTGACTGTAGTGTTGTATTTTCAGGTAAAACCGATTTTCTCTTTCCAGTGAATCACCTATGACTGTTATTCTCTCACAGCATTCACTGGTTGTAACATAATGATATCATCTACACATCCAACTTAAGGACAGTAGACCACAACATCTTATTAGGTATAGATATTACCTACTATAAAGAACAAAGAAACGAGAAAAGGCAGCTACAAGAGTTTTCTAAACTACATGTTTATGCCAAAACTACATAGATACTAAATAAAAAACAGTTCAGAAGTTCCAGCATTAATAAAAACAGGGACAAAACATATGAAATGCCTACACAACCCAGTATGATATAGTGCAAGTATTCCTGCTTTTATAACAAACTGAGACACGGATATATAAAAAAAAAGCATACACATGTGCCAATTTTTGTATATAGGCAGAAATTTGTTGTATATCTGTGGAAAGACCCAAGAGAGAAGCAGAGAGCATACCAGTCTCTCAATCAAGAAGACTAAGGATTGAATCCTGACAATCTGAATTATAAGTAGTGTCTTTATGGTTTGCTTTTGCCTTTAGAAATATCACAAGAGTCCAGAGAAAATACTCACTGTACAACTTAAAATGAAAGGTTAGAAATTTAAGAAAATTATTCACTAACCTTAAACTGGTCAAAGACCCAAGTGTCCAATTTTGCCATGTCCTTTGCAGCAAAATCTTCAAGTTCCGCTGGATAGGTGTGTGTGAAGACATGATTACCAACAGCACCTTCAATTAGAGAAGCCTTGGCAAGTTAAGATATGTTGTATCTATTCAGCTAATGTTACAATAAAAGGTTCAAAGTTAAAAACTCAATCTACAAATGTTTTTTCTCTACCCAACTCTTTTAACAGATACATCCTTTGATTTTGTTTTTTTCTATGGAATTGTACTGGTTGGTGTTTAAAGTTAACAAAATATTAGATAAAAAACACCTAAATATGGAAGAAAGGCAAAATAATTACAAACAGTTCAGAAAGTAAAAAAAGAACAATATGAAATTTATGATAACAGACTGGTTAATAATCTATAATTAGGTATGTTTTAAATTCTTAAAACAAAAATGGGTCCTTACTAAAATATATTCACACTAAGAAAATATTGAACACTTTACACAAATAAAAAATACTACTTTGAAGAAAAATGGGTTTCTTCATAAGACATTTTAATTTATCCATGTTTTTGCTAATATATTCTAAAGAATCACAATTAGTATTAATTATTACAGAACTTATTTATGAACATAAGTTTGCATAATAAGGACTCTTCCAGCTACATCTAGGATATTGGCAACATATTTTAACTGATTAATTGTCAGACTTATTAGTTCATTACATGCAACTAATCAAGTATTTTTACATTAGATTCAGATAGTTGGAATAATTGAAAACAACAATAATCAGAAACACTTATTTTTATTAGTTAATTATTTTCATGACTGATCAACTTAATCATAATTTTGATTAGTTGCTTAGTTATGACATTAATCACCTTAATTGTAATTTCAATTAATTGAATATTTTACATAACTAATAAATGTAATTCATACTCAAAGGTAATTAACTATATCAAACTCTGAGCTCTACCTCCAGCTTGTTATTTTCAAAAATAACAAATAACATTTTGTATAGGTCAAATATATTTTACTTTTGAAAAGTGACCATTAATAAAACATTTGTGAATTTTTATTGTTATCTATCTGAAAATAATTCATCTACTTTATTAACTATTTTGTCTCCTTTATAAAACATATTTTTCTCCTGTATATTTAAATTTAACACATTGTATTGCATTTTGAACAGATAAAAGTATTGTACATATAACAAACACTCAAAAACTATAATTGCCCAAATAAATCATAACAGAAAATTAGAATATAAAATTTACTTATATTATCTATATACTGTGAAAATTATTAAAGAAAATGAAGGACATTAACTTTAACTATTTCAATTTTAAATTATACAATTTTTTATCTAGCAAGAAAAACAACTACTCAAAAGTCCAAATTAGAAAGGACAATGAAACCTACAAAACCTAACTATTCATAGCCAACTTTTAAAATAGTTTAATACTACCCCACTGATAACTGATCATCTTATACAGTTTACCTTTGGCAAACATAGGCAGAATATCTGGACTTCCCCATGACCATGTGAACCTGCTCTGATTGAAAACAGAGTCAAATTCCACTGGATTTTCTTTCCACCCTTTGGCCACTGCACTGACATCCTCATAAAATCCTGCAATTAAAGCAACATGGCCTGGTCTTGATTCTGTAGGAACTCTTGTGTGAGAAACTCCCCAAGAACCCTTGGATGTAATGATATCTCTGTGTTTTAGAAAATGATATTCAAATGAATTATAAATGTAATTCCATATGAAAACCTAGATTATGACTAAGTAAAGTAAACATGTTCATTAAATTGTACTCAACATATGTAAAATATATAGCTCATTGTTGCAAACATATGACATGGTGGAAGTAATGTCTTAAGAGATTAGTTAGAGCATATAACAGAATTATAAATAAAGAAACGGTTCACTCATCATTTTTATCTTATTTCTTATAATCTCAAAAGTCTTAGAATTACAAACTAATATGAAAAAAATTTGCAAAGTTGAGGTAATAGCCATTTTCAGGTCCTAAGAGTTCCTGAGCCCTCGAAAAACAATTAAGCTGTTTTAAAAAAGCAATGTTGAAATAGTGTTCTGGTGCAAGAGGACTTTAGATGTGACTGCTGAAAACAAGTGAATGTTCCGCTGTAGTAAAAGTACTAATAGAATCCTGAGATTTATTTACTTAATTTCTTTTAAATTTTAAATTAGAATAAAATAGATAATGTAAATTGTATAAAACTTTGGTAAGATTTCCTTTAAAATATGTAAGCAAGTATAAATTAAATTATATTGATAATAAAGATGTAATTATGATAATCAAGCAAAAGATTATCTGCATGTAATGAACCCAAGTGTCATGAATTGATAACAATATATACTTGGTTCATCATTTGTAAAAAATTAAATATTAAACATTTACTAATTGATATAATAAAATTAAATGTGAGTAAAACACCTTATTTGGGATCTAGAAAACATCAAAAGTATGCAAGTGAAAATATAATAATTCAAAAATTTACAATGTTAGAAAACGTTAACTTCTGAAACAGTACAACCTCCACTCACCCAAAGCTGGTGATGGGCTGGTGAAGGTACAAAAGTAATCAAACAAGAAGAGAACAACCACCATGAAAGAACAGTTGTGCCACAATTATAAAAGGAGGCACACCTGTAGGATATAGTACTACTTCTGGAACAGGTAGCTCTTTGTCCAGTAACGAACAAAGTAAGACACATAGGGCGGAACATATTAGACAGGACTATGTCAAGTGATACAGGTTCTGCCCATGGACAACAGATAGTATGTAAGATGTCCACATATGTAATAAGCATGAGCACATGACACAATCATAGTCAGATTTGAAGAATTAGCTATAAGAATATGTAGATACGGCTAAAGGACCATAAATGTATATAGATAGGTTATGTGCAGTTCGACTGGGCAAAAAACATCCAGGGGAAGCACCTTGGAATATGCCGGATTATGCCAAGTGTGGTCCACCTGTCAAAAACAAAAGTGAAAGCACCTTGCATAAGATTGTAAGATCAACAACTACAGTTCGTCCAGACAAAAAACATCCAGGGGAAGTGCCTTAGATTTATATTAAGAAAGCAAAGTGTGGTCAGCCCGGGCCAAACATCTGGGGTAGCACCTTGGTATATGTTGGATTATGTCAAGTGCAGTCCATCCGAGCAGAAAACATCCAGTGGAAGCACCTTGCATAGTATTTGTTGTTTCATATTTTGTACGTAATAGATTGTGTGATCAACAAGTGCGGTCAGCCCGGGTAAAACATCTGGGGGAAACGCCTTGTGGTATTATGGAGTAGGTCAAGCGTGGTCTATCCGGGCAGAGAACATTCAGTGTTAGCACCTTGCATAAAACTGTCATTTTATATCTTCAACGTAATATATTTATAGATCAACAAATGCAATCCACCCACACAAAAAACATCTGGGAGAGACACTTCGTGATATAATGTAGTATGACAAGTGTAGTCTGTCCAGGTAGAAAACATCCAGTTGAAGTGCCTTGCACAGAATTGTTTGTTTCATGTCTTGTACATAAATTATTTAGGGATCAACAAGTGTGGGCCGCCCAGGGAAAAACATCCAGGGGAAGTGCCCTGTGATATTATTGAGTATGTCAAGTGCAGTCCATCCAGTGGAAGCGCCTTGCATAAAAAAACAATTAGGGAACAACAAGAGCGGTCAGCCTGGGCAAAAACATCTGGGAGAAGTGCCTTGTGTTTTCTTGAGTATAGCAAGTATGGTCCATCCAGGCAGGAAAACATCTGGAAGAAGCACCTTGGATTGAGTGTATTATGATGTTGTATAATATGAAATATAATGACAATAGTGCTCTTCTCAAAGAGTGGGTATATATGAGTATGAAGTTTGTTATATCATACAAATCCCAATCCAGAGGAAACCTCCACGGTCCACCACTCCAGTGACTGGGAACCGCAATGGGTGTCTGAGTTTGGAAAGTAGAAAGACCCAACTGTAAGAATCATTGGTCAGCAGAGATAGGCAAAAATCCCAATCTGCTTTACTCATGAAGTCCATGAGTGATGGTCCTTTATATATGATACAGTGCTTATAAAAAAAAAAAAAAGACATATACACACTGGATAAGCAGCCAGTGGTCTTACAGAAACAACCCCATCTCCACAGCAAGTATTATGGATATATACAGATTTAGTACTGAGATATAATATTCAGCATAACTGACCAGGCAACACTGCCACCAGGTGGGATACTGTATATCAATAGCTTAATGTAAAAACGAATAATATGTCAACTTACCCCAGGCAAAGCTGAACAAATGTGTGTAGAATCACCACAGAAGAAAGACATCTATATTGTGCAGATAAAGAGTGACAAATGTATTGGGAGTAGTTCACATACCAACCTGAATGATCTCCTCCAAAAGACAGAGGTTGTGAGCAGCTAAAGACATAGTTAGACGACACATTTGGTGTGAAGAAACATGAAGTAGATGGCAACCGTCCATGGACACATCAGAATCTGGCAGTCGTATGAGCTCATGAACCCAACCAGTGAGTGTAATAGGTGGAAAAAAGAGGCAGGAATGAGAACCAATGAAAGGAGGCAGTACAAGCCATATAACATAGCAGGTAATGAACTGGACAAGTAGATGATTTGGATCCGAATGGGAGAACAGATGAGATAACATATGAGGAATGGTAAAGGATGTGGGAAACATTAATGGCAAATATCAGAATGATGATGACCACATGCTAGGAGGGGAAGGAAATATGTCTTAAGGGAAAGATGTACAAGGAATATGTTGCAATGGGTTCAAAGGGAGAACTGGACAGGGTATGAAGGACAACACTGAGATCCCAAACCAGCAGAACAAAGGAAAAGGAGGGAATAACTGGGGAAGAGAAGACATTCCGGAAGTGGGAGAAAGGAAGATGTTTGACAGGGTAGCCCTAAAAGAGCAACAGTTGAAACATACAAACCCTGAACAAACAAACAGATGAAGAAATGGAACAGGTGAGGAACAAAAGGATGAGATGATTGGAAGCCAAGTCTGAAGTAAGACCAAAGCCTCTGGTACATAGACAAGGAGGAAGGGCAAATGGTACAGACAAGGAAAGATGCTACATAAGGGACAAATCCCAGAGTTGAGGCATAGGACCAGACAAAATTCACACTTGAAGTTGGAGAGTGGGGACATTGGGATGAAAATCATCCAATCGCAGTTGTAAGAGTAGTAATCAGGACAGAGATAAGGGTAGGGGCTGTAGCTCCAGTAAGGGCCAGAGTAGAGGGAACCACATCTAAGCTGGCCAATAGGGAGCAGCCAGCAGTAAACAACAAGGATGATCTGGTTAATGGGAGAGAGGAGTCTGATTGTAGGGTAGGCATATAGGTGAAGACCCCTCCTATCTGGACTGAAAGCATTCACCCCCAGAGCTGAGGGGTGAGGAACTGGAGACCAAAAAAGGAGGGAAGTTTGGCATTCCAGTGAGTGAGAAATGCATATATATGTGGAGTTCCCAGTTGAGATCAGACCCACGGAAAAACCTGAGGATGAAGAGACCACTTCGTTGGGAGAACCTGGTTGGGATGAGATAAGGAATTGGCCACAAGATTTATAACTCTGGAAACATGACACTCCATGTCATGGTTATTGGTCTAGTACAGGAGAACCAGAGTGTGAAAACACGGATATCTGGACTTGGTCCCCCTTGCTTAGTAATACAGCTGACGACAGTGGAATAGTCAGAATGAACCATAACCACCACCCTCGCAGGAATGGGAGGAAATGATACAGAACTCAATAAACTGCAAGAGGTTCCAGGATGTGGAAATGAAGAGTAGCCTCCTTGACTGACTACTGACCCAAAATCTCTGTGGAATCAAGGAAAGCCCACCAAAGAAGCATCTTTAAACAGATTAGACTTGATACGAGGTGGATGAAATGGAAACCCAAGCATGGTGAAGTCCCTGTTGAGCCACCAAGCAAAGCTGGCCCTGATCCAAGGTGAAAGGGAGATGGGATGGTCTAAGGGATCTTTGAGGAAATTCCAGTGGGTGAGAAGCATCCAGTGAAGGGAATGCATGTGTGCCCAACCTAAGGAAATGAGGGCTTCCAAAGACACCCACAATCCCAAAAGACAACAAATAAATGAGAGAAAAACCGCGGTTGAGAGGGCACCACCCGTTCAATAGCTCCTTAGCATGGTAGGTCTCGAACAGATTCGCCAAGATAACTGGAAGAGGTACAATCCCAAGGAGGAAGGAAGGAAATCTGGAAAGTGGATAGAGGGGAAGCAAAACGGAAGGCAGAAACCCACAGAAAGAACCTGTAAAAACCAAGAAACTGTCATGAAGTGTAGGCAAAGAGACAAACTAAACATGCTGAAAGCAAGTACTCATTACTAACAAACTAACAAAATACAGAAACATGTAAAGTCTACAAAGTACATAAATATAACAAACCTGCAAATCTATGAAATTCGACCCAAAATAGAAAACAATAAGTAACACCTAGAGTACAAAACCACTAAAGGAACTTAGAAGATAAACGACCCTTAAATATCAAACATAGAAGTCCACCCAAAGAATCTATAAGACAAAGGACATGAAAATAAAACCAACCCTAAAACATGAGAAGAAAAAGGTACCCAGTTAACAATAACAAAGTTTAACTCAAATCTAATCCCCAATTGGATG